CGCACAACAGCATGTCATGATCAGCGTACCAACCAAGATGCCGTTGACAAAGAACCCGATAATGATGACCCATACTGGGTCCCAAGTCGGACTGGTAAAGATCTGTACAAGCTCGCTGCCCATGAAGGTGGTTCCCCAAGGCTCTACTGGCCTCGCAGTCTCCACTCCAGAGCTCATCAACGCAAGAATGGCCACTGAAATCGCCACTCTCATCAAAGGCTGTGCAACCATGAGGCTCGAGGAAAACTAGAAAACTTGCGTTACAAAGAATCACAAGTGCTGTGCAAACGCACTGTGCAAAACGCACCTCGACTACACTCCTCACATGAGTCGATCATGTGTGGCGTAAGATGAAACCACATCGGTTCCCCCTTTCAGTTTGTTGCTTTTCGGGCCTTGAGCAATCCGTCTGCCAGCACCTTGCTATACCTCCCTTTTGCTGTGTAGTCAGTGATGGAGCAAGGCATGTGTCTGGCAACTGCAGCTTCCAAACATGTCGAAAAGCTTCTGGGCACAATCGGAATGTGAACACATGAACCTGAGACGTTTTGACACTGGAAGACCGCTTCGACTCACCACGTCGGTGGCACATAGCCATACATCTACGGGATACACAAGACCTGAGGCTCGAAGGACATTCTGCGTTCCCCATCTCTTCCAAATCATGTTTTGCTTTGGCAGTTCGAAAGTACGTCCATCTCCAAGCTTCAGATACTTCTCTGCAGCCCGCATCAGTGCCTCCCATTCGAGGTCGGATTCTGTACACCTTTGCACAAAGTTCCTCAGCATCGAGCCTGAAGAGCAAGGCGTAGACACGTGAACGTGGATCCAAAGCCCTCTGTTCTTCCAAGCAGTGATGACCTTGATGGTTTCTGTCAACACTCGAGGTCTCGGCGTTGGCTGTGATCCCGCAATACGGAACCCCAAGTGATCCACACACCTGACACAGGGCAGAACCCTCACTGCAAAACACCTCCAGCACTGCCACTTCATCAGATTCTTTCATGCTCTCTGGAGAAACTCGCAGCTGTGACAACATGTACAACGCCTCCACATGTCCATCCTGTGTGATGAATCCCAATCGCGTTCTGTGTTCCTGGAAGAGTCGGGTTCCTAGATTTTTAGTGTAGAGATCAGCAGCGTTCTCCGCGCCTCTCAGCCAACGCAATTTGAGCCGACCTCTCAAGAGATGCTCTCTCATCCACGCCAATCGGACCTCCACATGTCTCGAACGTTTCGGTACGTCTTCCGCATGAATGACATCCAACGCTGCCTGACTGTCCGTCAACAGTTCAGTGTAGATCTTCCCACGCTGCTCTTCGCCATCTTCGTCCTCTGCATGGGCGCTCATCTGCACATCAATTGACCCTTGAAGTTCACCGAAGGCGGTGAGGACACGATCAAGCAAGTGCAAAAATGCGATTGCCTCCTGCGCAGCATGTTGCAACGCATGAAGCTCAGCCTCACACGATGACAGGCACACAACCCCTTGCACTTTTGCGATCCCTCGCACAAGACCTCCTCCGAAGCAGATGGCTCCTCCTGTGATTCCTCTTCTGCAGATGAACCTGTATGGAGCATGAGACGCATCTGCAAAGACATGCACACTACTCCGCAGAACCTCTTCGGAACATTCCAAGAACTCACCACTCAACTCTGATGACGGCAAGCGCAGTGCAACATGTCTGTCGGTGTAGAGATAACGTAGAAGTGCCCTCAACGCCGCCTCGGTGCTCTGTGTCGGCGCAGCTTGTTGCGTACTGATGAGTCCAATCATCAGCTTCAAATCTTGCCTTGTCTGCGCATACCAGAGCACCTTTCCAAGCACTCTGCGGAATCTGCTGTAGGCTTCCGACGTCAGAGCCGGTGCACCTGTTTTCTCCAGGAGGCCTGCTAGGTCTGGGACGGAGGTTGTGCCCTTTTGGATGCCAAACGCATCGAAGCACGATTGCAAGTATCCAGACTTCACACCTACCTCGACTGCACTCTGCCCCGGCCACCGACGAATGCACCGACCAATGAACTCAACCATGCCGCCACCTTGACTAGATGTTTTCACCCTACCTGTCACCTTTTCGGTTACTCGCTTCCCGATGGCACTCAAGACCAAGTCTTCAGCCCACTGATCATCAGTGATGATTAACAGGTCGTCGACGTAGCACACGATCATCACTCTGCTCGATCTATCCTTGTGCCACACTACACCCGCAAAGAGACATGGCTCACGTGCATCACTCAAAAGACCCAGTGGACGGATCAACGAGGAAAGAAGTTTAAGCCATGCCAATGAAGCATCCCGCAGTCCATTCAGCGCGCAATATAGGAAGAAGAAGATAGCCTGGCCATCTTCCGAACTGATGCTCAGCGGTAGCTTCAACACAACGGGGTTCGACTTGGTGTCCAACGGCGAGTTCATGAAAGCATGCCCAATGTCTGCCGCACAACCTTGCATGTCACGCGTGGCCATAAAAATCAGGGTGAGCATCATGGCATCATGGCTTGGGGTTGGTGAACTGAACCCTTGCTTTCTTGGCGAGCCATGCACGGTGTCCTTTGCCACAATGCGGCACCTGACACGAGTGGGATTCTTTCTGGCACAAACCCATCGAGCGGGTATAAGTCTCAACGATGGTTTTTTCCTCTGGCGCCTCTTTACTACATCAGTAGCACAGTAGGCCGGTCTTGTTGGGCTCGACGAAAAGGGTGAAACAGAGTCAGCGCGCACAACCCGCCAGACACAACACGAAACCACCAAAGAACAGACCCCGAAGAAACAAAGCGAGCAATCGCGCAAAACTACTAGATACCCCACGGACTCAGTACTCGAGGTCGTCAATGAAGTCCCGGTGCACAAGGAAGCACAGAGCTTGTGGGGGATTCGCAAAATGCGACATTGCCAGATTCACAAAATCACCATCATGTAGCCACTGGTGCGACAGCGGTTAGTCAACCCAAGATCATCAGACGAGGTTCGAATCGCTTAATCGTTGTCAAGGAAAGACAACCAACACTCAATGGCGAAAGGATGTTGCAAGTCAGACTCCCAAGGGGGGATGAAAGATGTGCATATGCCCCATGGTGGTCAGCCAGTGGGGACTTAACAGCAAGAACAATCCAGGCCAGACCGGCCCAGGGCACTCCATGGTGGTCAGCCAGTGGAGTAGCTCCGAGCACAGGGTTCACCAGTCAACCTGGCGCACAAGTGCCCACCCTCAAAGGTGCCCGCGCACGGCCAGAGGGGGGGGGCGAGAGTAGCAGCAGCTACCGATTACCTGGCGCACAAGGGCCCACCCTCAGAGGTGCCCGCGCACGGTCAGAGGGGGGGCGAGAGTAGCAGCAGCTACCGATTCCACGGGGAAAGTCCACGGCGAGTTATCAAACCCTTAACGCCACAGGGTTTTAATGACACCGAGGGACCTCCCAGTCCAGGCATCTCACACAAGGCTACGCCACTTTGGCACTGGCCTGCGCATCGGCACGCATCAGGTCCCTTCACCCAAACCCGCGAGGTACGTCGGTAAGGAGATGGGAGGGCTCACATCACCGTCATGCAGCCACCAATGTGAGTACATTCAGCACCAGCCAAGGCCGTTCACGAGATGGTTCACAGTTTCGCCATCACAGGTGGAGCAAAGTCGTGCCTCAGCACGGAACGTTGTAGGTGTCAACCTTCGTGTTCCGAAGTATAAAGTTGCCCCATGGTGGTCAGCCAGTGGGGACTTAACGGCAGGAACAAAGGGGTAGGACCAGCCCAGAGTACTCCATGGTGGTCAGCCAGTGGAGCCTCTCCGAGCACAAAGCGCAACGTTCTTTTGACTCACAAGAGCTCGTCCGCCGGCCAAGGCAGGCTTGACTGCTTCGTTCCACTCAGAGCCATCAGGTAAACCAAAGCAGGCGGGGACCCCACCTGCCCCGCAGGAAGCGGGAGAATCCCCCAGTCGAAACTTCGCACTCAAGGCCAAGCAACTATCTTGGCCGGTGAGGGTTGAGGGTTCAATACCCAGAATCAGCCCGTCCATGCCCAAACTGACAGACGTCGGTGAGGAGATGTGAGGGCTCACATCACGCTTGGCCACCTACCGATGGGGAGGTAGTCATGTATGGCTGCTTTGACGCAAGCAGAGATAGACACCAAGCAGGCAGGGAACCCCGTAGCAACCCAAGCACAGGCGAGAATGGCTCTCGTGAAGGGCAGGTTGTTCACAGGTGCTCGATGGCACATTGCCAGGGAAGTGGAAGCTGATCTCCGCATACGAGTGTCCACAACCCGGAAGCAGCATCCCCGAGCTGGTCTCTCCCAATAGGCATGACGTCGTTGTACGCCAAGGGGGTGTCACCTTCCAGACGAGAGATGGCCAACCCTCTAGCCCAAGGGGTTTACACTTGATCGTAGCACATGGAAGCAGGCAACCTGCCCACCTAGAGGGGGCAGAGGAAAGGAAGATTGGCCGTTTTACCGATGACAGAGCTGGAATATCCAGGCAGGACCGGCCCAGGGCAGTCCGTGGCAGATGGCCAGTGGAGCAACCACGAAAGAAAGGCCCCCCGTCACCATAGGCACAACGCAGAGCCGACACAGAAGGGTGTTCACAGGTGCAGGCAGTGAGCACACAGAAGACAAGCACGATCCAATCCGTGGCATAGACCACGAGAGGGTTGCCAAAGCCGGGCGCGGCGTGACAAGTGGCAATGAAAGAAAAGAAAAAGTTTCTTCTTTCTTTAGGCGCGGCGCCAGCCGCGGCGGCGACCGCCGCGCATGGCGCCGCCCCTTCAAGGAAGAGCTGCGCCGCCAAGAACAACCTGCCACCTCTGGCGCCGCGTCTGTTTAAGCAAGCACCGCCCACAGTGCCATAGCCAGTTCTCTGCGCCTACTCTCTCTAACCTCTAACCCGACTCGAGCACGTTAACAGCAAACGCCCAACCCTACCGCGACCCCCCAGCAACAGAAGAGCATGGAACCTTTTTGCGCATTTCTTGCGAAACAGAAACGCTTGAGCTTGTCACTCATCGTCGAACAAGGCCGACTGCAGGCTACACTCCTCTTCGGAGATGTGCTGGTCGCCTTGAGCGTTCTGCGACTCCTGCTCTGGTTGGGCAGAAGCCTTGAACATGGGCTGGAACACAGACAGAGCGGCCAAAGATGCACTGCCGCTCTCGGTCCTCTCGGCCCGTCGCACAGCCCCGAAAATTTGAAACACATCGGAGCCTGAAAACCAAAACTGCAACTGGAACAAACGAACTTTCTGGTTCAGCTGCTTCTCTAAAGCATCCGCACGCTCGGGAGTCGGCCCCACAGTGTTGAAGGCCTGTCTTCCGACCTTCCGGCGAAAGGAACTGAAGAAGCCGTCCATCTTCTGCGTTCCTCCCACCACGTCTTTCTCATCCCACTCACGTCCATTCCAAAACTTCACATGGAAATTCTTCGTGAACTCGGGATGCGGAGGCTTGTGGCGAACATTTGTGTGAGCTAGCTTGAACTGGCTGAACTGCCGCCCTTGCAAGGTTCCGTCATACAAGGGCCCCTCTGGCTGGTCCAATTGCTTGTACGCCTTTGCTGAATCGGTGTGGCAAATGCTGCCACACTCCAAGCGTGGCTTTCCAGTTGAAGTGACCATGACGGAGCGCAACTCTTCCAAACTGAGAGGGCCTCCACCACCTTGACCACCTTGACTCAAGCGGTAGGGGAGCTTTGCGATGTAAATTGGAGGAGCCACGCCTGACCATGCCGATGAAGCGAAGCCAAAGAACTGAAGTGTTCAACCCAGCACTGCGAAAAGCAACCTCGTCAATTTCAACATCCATGCCGGGCCCACCCACAGTCAGTTCTTCGTTCATTTTCTCCACCAAAGGGCACAGCCAACTTCGAAAAGCATCCCACTGCTCTCGAACCGTTCTGGAATCCAAGCCCAATATCAATCCAGCTTGATCCGGAGACAAATTCAAAGTGCACATCAGCCACAAACAACCAACTGCAGATCCAAGAGCAATTCGCTTGCAAAACAAGTCTCTGTCTTGCGCAACGACACTTTCAGAATATCTGCACTTGCGGCATCGCACCAAACATGAATTCTCTCGATCCTCAAGCTTCCAATCCTTCTTCTCACACTTGGGACACACGTTCTCGCGAATGTCTTTGCAAATTCCAAGCTCGTAGAGAATTTCTGCAATCTCATGGGGCTTGCTGGTCAAAATTCCATCCAAGCTGTAGCGATTTTGAACTGCGCTGCGAGCAAACACCGCAGAACGTCCCCGCTTTCGGCCAGGACTCTCAGCACGCGGATCTGTGTACGTCCGCTTGCCCTTGTTCGTTGCCGGCTGCTCTGACTGCTTCTCCAAATTCTCTTCTGCATTCTTCTGCTTCCCTCTCGATCTTCTGGCGAAAATGGACCTCCATTTTGGAAGGCTGCGGTCTTGAGGCATCGGCTTCAGATGCGGAAGATTCATTTCGAGCTCCAGGCTGTCGTTTCTTGCTGTGACGAGCAATCTTTGCTGAAGTTGCTTTGGGCTTGGCTTTGACTTTTGGAGAAGCTCGAACACGACGATCGCGTCCTGCAGTTCCCATGGAAACTTGACCTCCATGTTCCCAGCGGGCAGCCATTGCAAGTGTTTTTGCCATGACTCTTGCAGGTTTTTTGCAAAAAGTGAAACTTCTGTTGATCCAACAACGCAAGCATGCAAATAAGAATTCTCAATCAAAAACATCAAGCACAGTCCCTTGTGTTCCACCTTCTGGAAAGGAACCTCCACAGTGCAGAACAAATTGCCAGACGACCAATAACTGTGTGGAGCATGGAAGCAGTGTCTATTTGTGAAAAATTTCTGAACCAGCTTTTCCAAAAAAAAATGGGCAGAGTTTCTGCAGACCCAACCCCCCTCCTCTTCAGGGTCATTTCCCTCCCCCACATCGGCTAAAGGGGGCAAATTGGGCCTCCGCCCTTGCCCCCTTCAGCCAATGTGAAGGACAGACACAAGTAGGTTTTTGAATTTCAAAACAAACATGTTTCAGGCAATTTGTACAAACACATGTGCAGGTTGTAGGCCTTGCATTATTGAATCTGGAATCTCTTTCTCAGTTCATTTCTTTCTTGCACTTTCTTTGCTGAAGAAAAAAAAACTGATCTTGTTGACAAGTGCACAAATTTTGGCATTTTTGGGATTTGTTGTTCATTTCCTCAAAAAATTCATGTTGGCATGTTTCTTTAAAATCTATTGGAAACACCAATTTAAATTGACTTAGAATGCATTAATGCCATATTAGAATAATGAAAGCTGAGATGTCTTTGAACTTGTACACTGGATCTCAGAAGATGTAAGAAATTTTGAAAAAAGAAGATTTTTTGCTTTCTAAAGAATCATTGTAAACAGAGCACGTGCCATGGTGCTTCTATAAAGATGCAGCATCAGAAGTGCTGCAGCATCTTTATTAGATGTGGCACCACAGGTGTTAATGTTTTGCCACCTGTGGTGCATTGCCCAAGAAAAGAATGTGCATTGAAGATGGCAAGACTGCCACCTGTGATGCCGCGCCCACCTTGCCAAACCAAGAATATCCCGAGGTAGTCTTGTGGCATGTATCGGCGAGGAGATGTGAGGGCTCACATCATGCTAGGCAGCATGCCATGAAAGGACTCAATGTGTGAAAACACAGCAGCAGCGCGCTGAACCCTCTTTTTCTCACGACTTGAGCCAAAGTCATAAGCCGGAGGCTTCGTCAGTGAAACTCTTTACACACAGGTGAAAACTCTGCTCTGCCACGTGTTCTCCACAGCCACAAAACAAACTCAAACGTCAGTGGGAGTTCTCGGGACCTACCCAACTACACCTAAAGCAAGCAAAAACGTGCACAGTCACTTCTACAGCTTCCAGACACACATCCCTACAACTCAAGCAATTCAAAAGGCTTTCCCACTTAAAGCAGCACTCCCGTCGAGCCTCCAAGGCACAACTACGGAGTTCCTACAACTACACACACACAACTCTGAGCCAGCATGCAGGACAACAAAGTTAACATGTCCTTAGACAGGAACTTTCACACCCCCGCTTGGACTGTGATGCCTCAGAGCCACGCACTTCTTCACAGTTCGGTGTTTCCAGTGCTTAAACATCTCATCCCAGGCAAAGTCCGAAAGCGAGCACTCCTACTGCCGACCTAAGAAGGTGTTCCTACAAGACCTAACGTGACTTTCGCAGCACGCAAAAGAGCTCTACCCAGTTTAGTCGGATAGATACCTGTTTCTTCGACACTAGCAAGTGAAACATGCTGATGACTTTTGTCACAGGGCTTTCCAGAGAAGATTTCACTCCACTCCTCTCGGTTTGTAGCAAAGAACCACCGCTTAAAGACCCCGTCGAAGGCACAACGGTCCACAACCCTTCCAAAGTTCAGACCAAGGCGCTTCTTTTCTTTCAGATAACTTTCCTCCTTCCAAAGACCACAGTTCTTTGGCCATTCCTGGGTAACCAGGATCTCTTTGCAGCGGTCCTCCAGAAGTCGTCCTAAAGCTTTCCAAGATGCAACATGCTTCTTGACCTGCTCTCGCCACCGATGTCGAAACTTCGGTCGATGCCAGTTCTTAAAGCGGTAGCTACATCCAGCGGTACACGGGGAAGCTATGTGGACATAGATCTGGGGCGGTTTCCTACTCAACAGACACAGCAAGACCTCTCCTAGAAACATTTGAGTACTCTTGCTTAAGAAGTCTTCTTTCTCAGTTATGCCTATATATGCTACTCGGTCACGAGCACACGCTCGGCACAACGCACTGTCCGTTGAACAAAACACCTCGATCACAAGCAGAGGAACAGATCCCAACGCAAGGTCTCTTGCCACTGGCTCGTACTTCGCCAGGTTTGTCGGGATTTTCTCAAGCTTTTCACATACTTCTTCAAGTTCTTCCATTCGTTCACGAAGGTGTTCAGGAACTACAAGACCCTGAAGGTCTTCTTCACACACTCTTTCCAGTCCACACGCAACCAGCAAATGCTCAAGCAACAACTCCTCAGGAGATTTCGTCAGTCCATCGGCTGGATTCCGTTCTCCACTGATGAAGCTTAGAATCAGCCTTTCCAGGTGGACTAGCTCTTGAAGATAGCGATGACGAAGCTCCAGGTGCCGAACACGGCGTAACAACCCCGTCATTTTGCTAATCGACAAAGCGGCTTCCGAATCCGAAGCCAGGTGAATCGGAAACTCACCGGTCTCTCCTTTGGGCATTCCATACAGGAGCGTTTCCATGAGCAAAGACAAGTACACCGACTCTTTGGCTGCCTCAGTCAGGGCTGCCAATTCGGCCTCCGCCGAACTCAACGCGGTCACCGACTGTTTCCGCGAGAAAGTTTTGATCATGATGCCATGCCACTTCACAATGGCACCAGACACAGAGCAAATGTTCCATGACGCATCCACAAAGCCAGAGAGCATGTTTTCCGAAGCGCAGCAAGGATACTCAAACGCTTCTGCCGAAAATCGCTGAAGGTACTCAGGCAAAGCCATCACCCAACGAACCACGCGTCTCAAGCAAGCTTCTGCCTGGCTATCTGGGTCACTCTGATACCGGCCCAGAAATCCTACCGGGTAGGACAAATGCGGCAACGTCAGGCTTGCCCACATCAACTTACCAAGCACACGTCTATAGCGTTCATACGCCTCAGTGCTGATAGGTGTTCCAGCCTCCTTCTTCCGGTAATCCCTCTCGAGGTTTCCCAGCACTGGTTTCACACCTTTTCCGCTAATGCCAAACTCTTCTCCAAGCGACTTCAAGTACCCCGGCTTCAGGCCAAAGAACACAGGCCCATGCTCAGTGGTTCGGGCGATCACTCGACCCAAGAACTCGAGCTGCCCAGTCTTGCCAGGTTCTAGAAGCCCTGTCTGCTTCATTTTATAGATCTTCGCTAGCTTAGCGTACAGATCCTTGGCAACTGGCGGATTCTGGGAAAAGATGATGAGATCGTCAACATACACTAACACCAAGGTCAGCGCACCATCCTTCTCAAGCCGGTGATGCACAGTAGGATCGGCAGTCTCACCAAACCCAAACTGCTTACGCAGCGTGCTTGTAAACTCTAGGTACCAGCTCAGTGGTCCTACTCTCAAACCATTCATGGCTTTGTGTAGCTGCGCAAACAGCGGCTTGTTCTCCTCATCATACATCCCATTCGGAAACCGGATACACTCTACTCCCTGCACAGGCGCTTGCATGAAGGCAACGCTCACATCTGCTGACAACAAGGTGCCACCTCTGACAGCATGAATAGCAAGGACACCCCTCAAGGCTTCCAAAGACGTGGTGGGGGAATATATCCCATCAGCTAGAGGATTGGATCCAAATGCATAGTCTCTCACAACAAGACGAGCACGAACTCGTTCAGGGTTCGTGGCCGACGGTTTCGAAGTCAGAACCCACCTAGTCGTATGGATTCTCCGTGTAGCTCGTTTACGGGCCTCAGCTTCTCCTATAATCGTAGCTACACCAAAAGCATCAAGTTCTGAGAGCTCGAGTCTCATACCTTCTTCAAGATGCTTACGAGGCAAAACCTTGCCAGAAACTTCGCAAACCGCATTGTCCGGGACATGGACCCAAATCTTCTTTCCACCAAACTTCATACGGAACCACTCTTTGACATCATCTCCCTTACGGATTTTTGTCGTTACTCTCAAGTCAGGCCCATCAAAGAGTTGCCTAAGGCCATGCTCATAGAGCCACGTCAGGCCCTCTTCCATGGCATCGTCTTCTCCTGGATCCATAGGGGCGTCGAGGTCCTCAAGACCTACGCCTCCGGGAGGCTCAACCTCCATGCCTGTTTCTTCAGGCACGTCCGAAAAATCCGGAGAATACCCATCCAACTCTCCTTCTTCTTCCATTGCTTCAGGGCCCTCAAGAGCAGGTGGTTCGGTGCGTTCAACAGGAAACTCAAGACTTCCTTCAGGGATATTTGGGGAATCAAGCGGCGGACTCGGACCATCGATTGGAACATCGAACTTGATGGGTCTTTCAGGGTCTTCCTTATTACCTCGAAGGTCACGCAAAGCAGCTTTGTCAAACTCCACTGGATCTTTGGCACGAAAAGAGCTGAAGATTTCCAAACGAGGGGGCTTTCCAATACCTATTGGAACAAAGACCCGAATCCCGGATCCATTAGCACCGTGAGGTCCTACATAGAGTGCCCTCACCAAGCGCTTTCCGCGGTGCTCTGGGTAGTCCTTCTGAGGCTTCCCAAAGCCCACAACCCCAAACTCACAGCTCTTCACTGGCTGAACTGTCGACCCACGCAGTCTCTCCAACGGCGTGCTGTGTTCCTTGGACACATGAAACAAGTTATGCATCCTCACAGAGTACCTCATGGCCTCAACAAACAGATGGCTCCCTAGAGGCAACTTTTCACCTACACGCTCTTCTAAGCCCAGCCAAACAGACCAGAACGCTTCTTTCACAAGGCAAACATGGCGTTCAACGATGCCCTTCGCTTGAGGTCTGTTTATCGCGAACGGGACCCAGTGCATTGACCTCCCCCCGAATGTCCGGTGTTTCGCTGCATTGCGGAAAACACTCTCGAGGAGATTTTCTTGGTCCCCGTGGACA